ACTACTCTCTCTCTCTCTCTCTCTCTCTCTCCCCCCCCCCCCCCCTCCCTGCATGCACATGTGAGAGATGCCTCTCTTGTGATGTCCATTGACTGTCGAAGCCAGCCCAGGTACTCTTTCTCCTCCTTTTGGTACTGGTATGGGTCCAGTGCTTGAGATTTAGAACCATGGTTTGTGATGCTAAATTTTGATGACAATAATTGTTGCTAGTATAGCTTTTGACTGCTTAGTTGCGTTTACTCTGTCATGGATGAAATCCTCTAGATCTGTGGAACACAATGCTGAAATAGACTCTAGCAGATGTTGTTTAAATATTTTTTGGAAGCTTAGTGGCACTATGATAAGGTTGCTCCATTGCTACCTAGGTGTCATGCATTTGGCATGCATTAGTGATGGTCTCATGAACTAGACTATCTATATCTTTGTATGCACATTGAAAACAGGACATTGTAATTTTAAAAAAGTCATTTGTTTGGATTAGACATCTAGCAATTTTGGTCGTACATTTTTGACCAGCTGTTGGTCTCTGATGACTGCTGATTTGGGGATTGTGCAATTGCTGTCAGAAACAAGAACCATTTTTTTGTATCATTGGCATGGTTAAACCATCATAGTTATTCTCACATGTTTTTTCCTTGTCTATTTATGCAGTGGACACCACCAAATGTGAGTGTACCAATGTTGAATCTGGTTGATAAGCTATTTCAACTAAACAGGAGGGGCTGGCTAAGGTGTGTTTTACATGGTAATTACATGATTTGTTTCTATAACGAAGATGCTTAAAAATAATTTTCACAAACTTGAAGTATTATCTTGTCGATCATACTAGAAGTATTATCTGTTATATATATATATATATATATATATATATATATATATATATATATATATATATATATATATATATAAACCTTTTTCAACGTCCCTTGTATTTTTACAAGCTTAGTCTGGCAGAAAAGCAAGAAGTATAGTTATTTAATGACTGATTATCAGAAGTATGCTTGTTAATAGGTTTGTGATGACTTTCAACTGAAGAATTAAGTGCGTGACATTTATATCTTATAATTGTTGTGCCATAAAACCAGTAAGATATTTCAGTAAAGCATTGCTGTGATAAATTTCTTAATATGCAATTTTGGTCTTGTGTCATAAACACTGAGGCTATGATATGACAACATGTGACTGATATACTCTATTCATTATTCTTAAGCTTCATGGTGAGCAAATGAAATGGCATTATGCAATCATGTTGGAACAACTGATGAATATTATTCATATTTTATGTTTCTTTTTATTCTTTTAATATACACTGTCACCATTCAGTACTTGATAGCAATAATGACCTGTCTCCATGTTTGAGCACATACACAGAGACAGGTCATTATTCACTTCCAAAAATAGTTGCATTATCTTGCTGACTACTTCCAATATTTAGCATGCTATGACATCAAGCATGCTAATTTTATCATGAAAAAGTTTTGCTAACTTGCAGATTCATTGTCAGAAAATGTCATTATTCTAAAGAGTTAAAACATTAACGTTCAGCCCTATTTGTTGTTTTTTGCAGAAGACAAGTATATTGGATTTCAAAACAGATATTGCAGTTGATAATGGAAGATGCCATTGATGATTGGATTTTAAGGCAAATCCATTGGCTAAGGAGGGATGATGTTGTTGCTCAAGGAATTCGATGGGTTCAAGATGTAAGAGTAGTTTTTTTTGGTACTCGCTCATTTTTGGCTGGTTTGGAAAACATCTTTTTTAGTTTAACAATACCTAGGGATTTTTTTTTTCGTGTATTCAGTAACACATTTGGCTGGTTTTTTCTTATAAGTTTAACAATATTTACCCTCTAGCGCAAAAAACAGATTTGAGCCCTACATGTTTATAGTTCAACAGCACCTATCCTCTAGAAAAGAAATGTTTGAGCACTATGTTTTTGTCTTTCTTCAATTTGTTAGAACTGTGATTGCTCTTGGACTCACATTTACTGTTTATAGAAGAGCTCTTTAGATTTGTGAAATTTGTTTCACTTAAATGGACCGACTTTACTTGAACCTTTGTAGTGAGCTGATATGTGATGTAGTTCTCCCTATATTCAGTTGTAGGTAGGCCTTTAGGGCATTATGCTGTTAATTGGAGCAGGAGACTGTATGCTAGTATTTTGTGCTTGTATGTGCTGATAGGACTAGCTAGAAATACAATATTCTAGGTATACACTTCTGTATGATTGGTGGTTTGCAAAGAAGTTGGTAGTGTGTGATTTGAATTTAAAATTAGTTTATGATTGTACCTTAAGAAATAACTTGAGGAACGGTGGGAAAGATCCAACAAAGATAGTAAATATGGACCCATCAACCTTCTTTTTCAGACGACTTGAGTTTAACATGGTTCTTTCTATGGGTTGGGTATTGGCTTTGATAAACTTTCTGATCCAAGTTTTACCTTGTCAAGTATGTTGGCCCATATTTCAGAGGCTTATGAAATGATTGAACCTGCACCTAGTCTTCTTCAGCAGGCTTAAGTGGTTTGATTTGTTTGATCTGTTTCTGCTAGCCCTCAACTAAGATATTCTAGCTTTAGCCGTATAACTAGAAATGCTTGCCATAACATCAGAAGTATCCCTTATGAATAAGATAAAGGAGTGATCCAGATAGTTGATTCAAAGTTTCTAGGGTATGACCTCTGATTGTCGTAAATCGCATCTGATTATTGGAGCAATGAACTCTAATCATTGTTAAATTAGTACCTATCGACATAATTAATCATTGCAATTATCTTTCTTTTGCCCTTTTTTTTTACTATACTATGGAAATCATCCAGCTTAATCCTTTAGTTGCTTATTTTATATTTTTTTTGTTGACGCTTTTTAATGTCTTACTCTCATCTTTCTGTCATTAGTTGCTTATAGTCTTGTACATCTCAGATGCTCTTTTTTTGTTATGTATATAAAATATTCTAAAACCAAGTTACAAATATGATAAGAAAAGTAGTTTTTGTTCTAATGTTTAGCTGTCAGTTTGTTGATGGAAAGCAGGATAAATCAAAGGAGTATTCATGTGTTTTTTCTCGCTGCTTATCTCTACATTTGTGTAGGCAGTTGTATGGATTCCCCTATTTTACAGCTGTTTTACTTCGAAGCAGGTTCTCTGGCCTAATGGCACATTCATCATTAAGTTGGGGAGCAGTCAAGGTGAGCTGGATGGCTTTAGCATTGATCAAAAGTCATCTCAGGGTAGGACGTACAATGATAAGGTTACTAGGCCAAACTCTTTTGAGGCCCAGCTTGAAGCAGCTCGTAGAGCAGATGATGTTAAGAAATTGCTACTTGGTGAGACATTTTTCTCTCTAAAATATATTGTGATGCAAGTGTGAATTTAGCTCTTTTTGTTGCATTCCTCTCGTTGAATATAGCTGACTTTCTGTGACAAACTTATGACCTTATTAGTTTGGCATCTTCTATTGGTTTTTCTCGATGCTTAAATTTTTGAATATAACTTAATTTATGCATTTTGATCAGTATGCTTTACATTGATTTTAAATGTCACAATCATATACACTTTTTTATTTTGTCTCTTCAGTTAACATGGCATCACTGTTATTGTTGCTGTAGTAAATTGTTTTGGATTGTAATCGAGATTTTCTTGTAAGACTAGCTTTTTTTTTTTTTCCATTTTTTCTATTTTATATATGATACTGTGTGAACTACTGAGATTGAGTCTTGCATGTTGTGTTCCCAAAAGGATAATTTCTAGCTTCCAATCGAATATTTATCTCTAGAGAGCTTTTACTTGACTTGGGTGCACACTTGTTGTAGGCAGTAAGATTAGATTGAAGTACTAATGCCTTCTCTTTTGACCTCAGCTAGTCCCATGCTTTTCCAACAAATAAATCCTTTTTTTACCATTTTATATGACATCATGCACTCAATCTGATCTTCACTAGTATTTTGATTAATTCGAAATATACAAATAGTGCCACTGAGACAAAGTTTCAAGGTGCAGAAACTTGTACAAGGTTTTGGTTTTTTGCATCTGTATGAGATCAGGGGCTTAGTTTATTTGCCTCTATCATGTTGAACTTTAAACAGGTCCATGTTTATCCGTCACCCATGTCCATATCTAACAAGTGCCATGTTAGTCATGGGCAGATTAACAACAAAAGTTTGATAACTACAAGTTATTCATCCAATAAAAGATTATGATTATGTTGATCTGCATGTTCAATTATCCTACGTCTTCAACTGAAAAGAAAATGTTGTTGTCAGGTGGAGCTCCAACAGCATTAGTCAGCTTAATTGGCCCAAGCCAATATCGACGCAGTGCTAGGGATATTTACTATTTTCTTCAGGTAAGCTCATCTAACCTCTGGCATCTCAATTAACCACTGATGTATGAGATAAGTTGAGCTGTATCATTACCTTGTCCTCACCTCTAAGGAAATGTCTGTGCCTCCGTGCAGTCCACCATATGTATTAAGCAGCTCGCATTTAGTGTGCTGGAAATGGTGCTTGTTTCGGTCTTCCCAGAATTACGAGATCTAGTGCTCGATATTCATGAAAAGTCACGTAAGCAGTCTTAGAGAATGAATAAGCTGAGTTAACGCTAGGCTGTGTTACCGAGTGGCATTTTCCATACTGTCACCTGCTTGCCACAAGATCTCAACATGCTGTTTCCTCCAATATCTTCCTTTAGCTGCAGCCTAGTTAAAAAGTAGCATTGTGCCTTCTTATACTATCGGTTGACCCTTTTTTGATATGTCAACGTTCAGTTCAGTTCAGTTTGACTAAAGAATCTCGATTCAGGAGGTGGTCTTGTATATCAGTATCAAATCTGCACAGCCTGTATATTGGAATTCTGTACATTTTATAATATCAATACAACAAAGAATTGATCATAGAAGTTACTTGTATAGGGTAGGATACCTGTTGCTCCAGGTGTGAAATTGTGGAGACCGAGTGTAAATTTATTCTTTTAACTGTGGTCAGTTCTTTGAACCTCTATCAAGAACATATTTACAAACATTGAGTTGGTGGAATTAAACTCTTTTTTTGGCTTCTGTGCAAGTTCATCATATGTAGCTGTCACATGTTGCTGTGTCCATCATATATACAAGGATGACGACTTACTACATCAAGAGATCTTGTTGCAAATTTGTAAATGTCATATTCCTATTTTTAATCTGATGTAGCATATATTTCTTTTCAAATATTAATGGCATTCGTATGCATTCTTCATATTATTAAAATCCTTCACATATTATTGTTCATTCAAAATACTTCAATCATGACTAGTGTAACTAATATTAACAAGTTCTAAGTTAAAGATATATTTAAATACCTATGCAGCGCATTGTTGGATGTGCTTTGAGAAACGTGTTGCACGATTTGAGGCTCTTGCATATTAGGACAACAGTCCGTGGATCAATACGATTCCGTCACGGAATCGCCGGCTGGATGAGTGGGTCTGATATGAAACCACCATGCAATTCCGGTCGTAGCCCAAAGTTCCATTCAAATTCTCCCCACTCCATAGGATCACATCGCATTGGGATCATGAACGCCAAACAACGGGACTTAACAGTACCGTCAATGATAAGACTCAACAACCGAGAGGGTGTGTGTATTCATTCAACCTTTGCTCCACCACCAAAGTAGGACGGCCGTGAGCAAGGGGGGGTGGATGTGGAAACGCAGCAAAATCTACCGGTCAAAAAGGCCTGTAAGACTCATTTACCCAAACACTCGATAGGTGAGAGAGCTGCGCCGTTGCCACACGCACGTCGGCCTCCACTGCTGCATGTGGCCGGTGGGAGGCGTCAGCAACTGTCATCAGATACTTTCGATGCGCTACGGTTGGTCGAACTGATGAAATTGGAAATTGAATTCTCGATCGGTTCGATCGACAAATTAGATCGTTCCACGTTTCAAATTATTTAAATTAAATCTTTTTATTATTATAATTTTCAGTAGTGTTAAATCTTAGAAAACAATAATAATTCATGAGATCAAAATGATGGAGGTAGCTGCTGCTGAACTGCATCCGCATCCTTATGTTAGATATATGATTGACTTGGTTTGGGTCATCTTCCACCCTAAAAGCATGGTGGTAACACAAGATTGACGGATACGGAGAAGCGACAAAAGCCACGATTTGGACCAAACCTCCAAGTCAAATTCTGCGCGTCGGTGGCGAGAGTTGACGACGCGCGTCCACGTGCTTTTACTCTTCCACTCCACACGCCACGCATCAGCCATGGGAGAAAAAGTACGTGTTTTGAGGCAGTCGTTTCTTCTTCCATGGTGGCAGTTTTGGGCGGGGCATATGAATTTTTTGGGTATTAATGTAAAGAAAAAGGAGAAATTTCTTTTCTGATTTCTCTTAAATTCTCTTAGATGATTCAGAGAAAACAATTAGTGTGCCGACTGACTTGCATCTTTTTTGTCGAATGGTCAAAGTCTAACTAGATTTGGACACATATTGACATCCTAACTTTTGTCTTCTTATTTTCTTTTATGCACTGATGAGCAAAGTAATAAATAGTCTTTTAACATAATATATTATCTTTGTAAGCCTAAAATTCTGAACAATTATTTTCCAGAAATTGAAATTAATTGGCAAACTAATATGTAAGTATTATGTGTTCTTGTCTTTATTATTTATCTTTTAAAAAATATTAATTAAATTTTTTTAAGTTAATAGTAAGATCTTACGATCGAATCTTATCTTCATAACTTATGAATGATTATGGATGAATAATAAAAAATCAAAAATACAATTATTTATTTGTCCATATTCAAAGGGGTCATTAGGCACAAAGACACACTTGTTTGGTGTTTTATGTCACACCAACAGTGAGGGTAGTATTGGTGTTGTAGAGGAATAAGTGGCAGTGTTTTGTTTACATGTCCAGTTTATGAACTCATTCATGGCAAAGCTTGGAGGGAGGGGTCAAAAGAGGAGGATGGTGTGAAGAGCGTGGAGGAGCGTGAACCATTAGTGAGAGAGAAGCCATTTAAGTGAGTTCAAGTGCCAAGCCTCCAACATGAATCTACCACATTGTTATCATTTGGAAATGATGAAGCATATTAGTATTGCATTCATTCAAAACCATCCAAATTTCATGTCTATAGTACTACACACTTATACAAACTAAATTTAAAAATCATATATTGTATAAACTAGAGTATTAAATATATTTTTTAATCATCAAAACTAAGTCAATAATTACCTAAGAAATTAGTCAATCGATATCGAGCTACTACGATAATATCCTTCAATTTAATCACAACGGCTATCGTAGTTAGTAAAAATGTTGAGTTACGATAATATTATCAAGATCTCAAAATTTAAAAAAAAAATATTTTCATATTATCCAAATTTTTATGTGCATGCATATACTTAAATTTTTTCTTTCTAGTGTCATATATGTAAACAATTATAATGATGTAGAATTGTTTGCTGACCACAACCACCACATGAAGAAGAGTCATACCAATAAGTGCTGTTTATATATACTTTAAATGACATACAAATGGAAGTCAAAAGATATAATTTTAGATCTGAAAGCCAATATATGACTTTGAGACACCCACAGAAAATACTATATAGACTCACAGACAATAAAGTCAATTACTCTTATCAAAGAAGAAAAGTCTGCATTGACTTCCTCTCTCTCTCTCTCTCTCTCACACACACACACACACACAGACACATTTGTATAAAACCCTATCCCAATTGAAACTTGAGCTGCCAATGACAACTTCAACATCTGCCTTTCACCCCTCACCCTTCTTCCTCAGATAGCCATAGTCTCAGAGCTGCAGTGTGATCACTGTTTGGAGAACTCCATTTCTTCCATTGGCTTTCATGGAAGGAGTACTTGAAGTCCCAGAATACTATCTCTGTCCTATATCTCTTCAGATGATGAGGGATCCGGTGACCGTCACCACCGGCATAACGTACGATCGGGAGAGCATCGAGCGGTGGTTGTTCTCCGGCAAGCACCGCGACTGCCCCGTCACCAAGCAACCGCTGCCCCCGGAGCTCGACCTCACACCGAACCACACTCTCCGTCGGCTGATTCAAGCGTGGTGCGTGGAGCACGCGTCCGACGGCGTGGAGCGGTTCCCGACTCCCCGTCCCACGGTCGACAAGTCCCAGATCGCCGCCATCCTCGATGAGGTCGTGATTCCGCAGACGCGGATGAGCGCTCTCCAAAGGCTGAAAAGCGTCGTGTTGGAGAGCGATCGCAACCGACGGTTCGTCGAGGAATCCGGTGCGGCTGATCTCTTGGTCTCGATCATAAGAGAACAAGAGGAATGCAATGATGGCGATGAAGCTCTGGCTATCTTGTGCTCCCTTCAGATCTCGGGAGAACGCCTACTCGATCTGCTTCGAAGGAACGACGATCTCATCGGAACGCTAACGTCGATCTTGAGCCAACGGAACGACCAGTCGCAAGCCTACGCCCTCCTCCTCCTCAAATCTCTGGTCCCTGTCATGTCCCCGTCCAAAATGTCAGATCTGAGAGAGGAGTTCTTCTCCGGGATCGTGAAGGGGCTGCAGGACAAGGTCTCGAGACAGGCCACCAAGGCCGCGCTGCAGATTCTCGCCGGCGTTTGCTGCTGCAAGAGGAACAAGGTGAAGGCGGTGCGAGCCGGAGCTGTCTTCGTCCTGATCGAGCTGTTGCTGGGTGAGACCGAGAGGAGGAGGTGCGAGATGCTGCTGGCGGTGCTGGACCAGCTCTGCGGGTGCGCCGAGGGGCGGGCGGAGGTGGTGGCGCACGCGGCGGGGATCTCCGTGGTCTCGAAGAAGATACTCCGGGTTTCGAAGCTGGCGAGCGCCATGTCGGCGAGGATACTGTGCTCGGTGGCGAAGCTGTCGCCGTCGCCGCCGGTGCTGCAGGAGATGCTGCAAGTGGGGGCGGTGTCCAAGCTGTGTTTGCTGCTTCAGGTGGACTGTGGAGTGAGGCTCAAGGATAAGGCGCAGGAGATACTGAAGCTGCACTCTAGGGTTTGGAGGAGCTCTCCCTGTTTGCCACCTCTGTTGCTGGCTTCCTATCCATGACTCCATCGAATGACTTGAGAAAACTCTTCTTCTCCACTTCATTCTCTACATAAATCGTATGCTTATTTCCATTAACTATGGATAGTATTCATGTTTCCAATGCATTAAAATCAGTACTATAAGAATGGATGGGTCTGTTTTAATTATTCTACGGCAATAATTAATCTTTTCGAATTTTGTCGACTAGATTAGTCGATAAAAACTTTGATAGTTTATCATATGGTTTTAGACTCGTATTCTACCTTCGTCGCTTATCGTTTATAAAAATAAAAATAATTTTTTTTCTCTTCATGTTGGTTTTAGTTGCATTAGTATATACAATAAGCAAAATTATTTGTTGTTGTTGATGACTTCATGCATTCAACTCGGCATCCAAGCGATATTTATTCCTGAGGTTCGATAAAGAGTCTTAATAAGGTGGTGTTATCTTTAGTATATTTATTTAGTCTCACATTAACATAAAGATGGATAAATGTTGGGGAAGGGGAAAAGAACATGAAATCGAAAGAATAAATTAGAAATTAATAAATAAAAAATACATGAGAAAGTCAATATAAAATTTGACGTGGTTTGATAACTCCTGTTTACTTGAAAAAATCAAATTCTTCATCACATGAGATCAATCGTAAAATCTTCGAGTTATTCTCGTATAAATCTTGAAAAATTTTATGCATTTTCTCTTACACTAATTATCAATACATACAAAATAATACATCTTGAAAAATACAGAGATACATATAAAACAATCAAACCCTAATTATCAAGATTTTTTTTCTTTTAATAGAATTCCTTCACGTGGGATTTTTTTTTATCTTTATACTTCTTTCAAGATTCTAAAAATATAATATATTACATTACATCCGAGAAAGAAGATTCATTCTGATCAGATGGCAATTCCAGTACTGCAATCCGCATGGAGGTAAATATTCTGCGGCAACCAAGAACTTACTATTCCAAAAGGAACAGCATGAAATGGCAGCACAGTGTTATGGAACTCCCATCGACATCGCCACCACTTTTCAACCTCCAGACTCTAACTTGGAATTCCAACTTCGCAATAAAATGGAGTGCTGTCATCATCTTCCTTCCATGGATATATGCATGCTGCTGTATTTGACCACGCGAACGAAAATGGTATCCGTTGAATGCAGAACGCCAAAGTCAATGGTGTCAGCTTATTGCAGGAGATCCATCGCAACCAAAGGAGGAGGCCAAATGTTACTTGGTCTGCGGAAATCACGGTCAGCAGATCAGCTTGTCTGCCATCGACGTCGATGGGTCGTGAAGCTGTGCGAGATGGAGAAGATGATGTTGATGAGCATTGTTAATTTAAATTTCTGGGAAATTAGCGGAGCATCACCGGTTGTTTCTCTTCTTTGGAGTTGACCAGTATCATGATGACAACGTCTCAACTAAATAGTAAAGACTGTTTCGATCAGAATGCGCTCAGCTTTGCAAATTGTGTTGCTGTCTTTTTCTAAAGCAGTGGTAAGAAGAGAAGGCAAAAGAAAGAAGATGTTAGAAGATTCTCACGTAATTATAGGTTTTTTTTTTCCTTTTATGTCTATTTTGTAGTAAATTTATTCAATATTATCTTTTATTTTAATTTGTTTATTTATATAATTTTTATTATTCATTTAGGGTATTACTCGGATAAGATTAACGTTCATTGAATTAGATACCATTCGATACAAAAACTAAGAGTAATGGGTTATGGAGGGAATGAGAGAGAAGAGGAGGGTGGCTTGTCATCCAATGGGAGAGAGAAGTTGGCTTCGTCAGCCAATGAGACTCCACCTCCAACGCTAGAGTCCCGCGAATAGAGAGAGAGAGAGAGGTTGGCTTGGTCATCCAATGAGACTCCGCCTTCCAACGTCGAGCGTCCGCCAATCAGCGGCCATCATCTACTTACCGAGTCCTCCGCTCTCTATCCGACCACAAATAAAATCAATCGATCCAGCCGCACGCTCCTCGTCGCACGGCCTTCTCTCCCACCGCAAGCTGGGCGACGGCGTATGGCTGCAAATGACGGCGTCGCCCTCCTCCATTCTTTACTTTGACCCGTCAACCCCCCTCCTCCCACAGAAACCCAACGCTTGTACGTTTCCATCAAGTTCATATGCTGTGTACAATGATTCTGGAATACTCCTCCAGGCTATGCGCGTGAGATGTGGGATGGAAATCAACAAAGCAGGAGAGGTGTGGCCTTTGATGACTCGTCATTTTGTGGCACGTGGTTTAATTCGATGTTGGTCAGCGTTTACTTTCGGTCGGAGCTGCGCTGCGGACTGATGCTAAGAGCGTAGGCTTTTTGAGAATATGAGATTGACTATCTGATTACCACTTTGATCTCATTCCACTATTTACCATTAGTATATGAAAACAACACCGGACACAAAAGAACAAGGTAAAATTTTCACCAAAACAAGATACAAATGCAGTCTAAAAATATCCACCAAGATCTCACAGGTATTTCAGCAGGCAACTTACAGTGGCTTGTCAATGCGCACCTATAGAATAAAATGTCAATCCTTAAAAATCTTCTTTACTTGATGAAGGGAGAAGAAAATAAAATTCATGAATTTTTCACGCAATAATTTCAGCAGCCTACAAGTGAGGTGATAAAAAAAACCTGTCACACTTGTGTTGTCAACTTCACGAGAACTAATCTCTCCAAGTAAGATCAACCCCACAATCAACAAGAAACACCCGGAGAGTGTCTCAAATCACTGGGTCCAATGGTGATGCACCTAGCACATTGTCTTCCCAAGTGCAGACATTTGATTGCAGGAATGAGTTATCATAGTTGACACAATGAATTGCTACGGATCATCAGAGCCCCAGGCATCATCACGCAAGGACCTCCGAGTCACTATTCGATTTTTTCTTGCTTCTTCCTGTTTCCTCAGATCATTAGACCCGAATTCGGTAGACGGCTTTATTCCCACTACCTGAGCAATCAACCTTTGGGCTGTTCTTGCAGAAGTCTTAGGCCTCGGGTAAGGAGGTTCCAGATCTGAAAGTTCCAACCTCCGTTTAAGTAACCAAAGGTACAAACAGCTAAAAATCACATGCAAACATCAAAATAAGATGTAAAACTGAACAGAAAGAATTGCAACAGAAAAGGCTACCCAGAAAGTTCTGGACAGTGTAATCCCTACAGTTTGTGGCAGATATCAGCGAAAGAAAAAAAAAAAAGTTACATCAGAAAAATGTAAAGGATAAAGGAAAGGAAACAGTATACCTTTGGTGCAGATCTGGTTCCACAGGTTATCATCCTCCTGCAGAGAACGGACTTTGAATGGATAGTGAGTGATGTTTTGAGCATCACGTGCTGCAACCAGAAACAAGTATTGTAATCTGCCATATTATTATTAACAAGACCATCTGAACTTTAAAAAAATAACTAAGACTAGTTTCTGTTGAGAAGACTACAAGATCAAAATACTCAAAAAATATAAAGAAAATTGAAGTTTTCAATTCTCTAAGGAATCCAGAAATTGGTTTTAAATATAAAACTTATTCAGTACATTAAACAGTATAAATTATTTTCCCATTAGTTGAAAGAGGAATCTAAAGTGTCATATAAGATAGTTCCAATGTACATGTGCTGCTCATTCCAATTATTGGTAAGAGTTGTTGGATAGGCACAATAGCAATTTGCTTCCACTTTCTTTAATATCCAAATTTCTGAATGGATCTGAGCACTTTTGTGAAATTATTGGGGAATCCTATCTTTAGAAGATCAAAGTTGACCAATTAAGGAAAGTTGGATGGTCAGCTAGTAACCCAAAAATTTCAGGGATAATTTCTCTAGTCTCTTCTTTCACCTTTACCTAGTTTCACCTCTCTTAGATTACTTGTCACTATACTTAAACAAGTCTAATGTTAGTATAAGCAATTAACTATGAATGCTCTTGCAACCTATTATTACTTAACAACTGTGAGGCTCACTTTGAATTGCTTGTCATGTGCACGCACGGGCACACACACACACACACACACACACACACACACACACATATATATATATATATATATATATAGGATTTTGTTTGATGGACTAAGGCAAGAATCTCAAGGAAGCAGAAATATATATGTCTGATTAATTTGATCGATTCTGAGTAACAAAGACAGCATGAACCTTCTGAAGGAGCAATGTAACCCTCGAAGCATAGTCTTCCATTTCTTATCCTGCTTGTAAAAATTAAGATTTCGTATCGGTTTAAACAGGGAAACAAAGCTTCTAAAGGATGGAATGAATGAATACCATAAAAATGCTACAGTGACGACATGGGATAATGAAATTGGAGATATGAGGTGAAAGTTAAAACATAAAAGGGTCCAAACTCCTTGAATCCTAGCCCTCGATAACTTATACTATCAAATGTGGCTCTTCAGAGGCAAGAACATTTGGCCTAAATTGACTAGATCCTGTAGCCATTAATCAAATATTTTCTTTCTTCCTCCTTTCTTTTACATGATGAGTAGGATGCAATGCAGTTTAAATCACGAAAAGGATTCCATATAATGCTCCTCCTTCAAGCAGACATCTAGTTGAGAAGTTCCTCGGAATGCTGCCAAAATATCAGTATCTCTGACAGTACAATAAGACAATTTATAATCTGGGTAATACCAGCCTTAAATCTACCACTTTAGTCACTCTTTTTGGTGACACGATTACCACCATACAACTCATAAATTAAGAATTCTGATAACATCAAGATCTACATGATGCAAACCAAGGTAGGCAATACCGAATGATACCGCCCGGTACGGATGGTACGTACCGGTCCGACGGCATACCAGTACGTGGACTGTCCACTACCCGACGGAACAAAAAATAATAATAAAATTATATATATATATATATATATATATATATATATATATATATATATATTAGAAAAAGGCGACGTTCAGCGACGTAGCCTTTTTCGGATTATATACATATATACATATATATCGAGCGATATACCGCTCGATATACAGTTTCGTACCGTACCGAGCGAACGTCGAAACTCCGGTACGATACGAAATTGCAGACCTTGATGCAAACTATGATGAACAAATGAATATTTTGACAAAAAAAAAATTGACTATCATCAACTAATTTCAATCCCATGATGAAATGAAATGGTTTTTTGTCGGAACATGTATATGATGAATCAAATACATTGTTATTCTATACACAACACAATGTTTGGTATTGCAAGCTAAAAAATAAACTGAGCTGCCTCTTATTTTGAATCAAAACATCTATTCTAAGACAAATTCTCGTACATCCTGATCCTGTGCATCGTGATCCGTGTGTTACATGTAAATCATAATAGACAAAATCCTTTTATAAAAGAGTATAGAGAATAGTTAGGCACAAATCTAATATCTATTGAAAGAAAAGCACAATGGCCAATGAGATAAAAATAATGAATCATAAATGGATTTCAGAATACATAGATAAAAGAACCATTATAAGCGACTGGTAGTTGCATAACGACATGGCTTCACAACTGTTATTGAGATTTAAAGGAGATCTCAAATTTTAGTTTGTTCAAACACCCTTGACTATGATGCTATTCAAATGCATGTTCCAGAACATAGATAGGCATGCACATATTCATAGGCTTCTTGCTAATATCCATAGACTTGCTCTCGGTGACAGCTATATATCATATATTCCAGGTGGTGCATTTATTACTCTGTTATAATAAATCTGCATTTGGACTTTCTTCTTTTTAGAGCAATCATAGTAAGCACTATGTCTATGGCAGCCTTTTTGAAGTATGATTGTTACAATAGAAAAGGCATGTTTCAGTGCATTATCCAATTATAGGCATCATGAGATTCCAAATCCTTGATGTGGAATCATGCCAACTGATCAAAGACTGAATTTTCAGGTTTAGTCAAAAAAAGTTTCTGGTTAGGCATAAAATTAAAGGTATGTGAATGTCAGCAACCATAAGCTTCACGACATGGATGCATATTCGAACATGTCATCAAGAATGAAACCTTCAGGACTACAACCCTTTTTCATGGCAAAGGAAAACTAAACAATTCATCTTTCTGACATGATAGATCAAGATAGATCTTAACTCGAACTGGCATCTGCCTCAAGAGATCAAAATCTTGCTAATTGACTTTAGTGACAACTGAGAAACACCATAGTTTTACTGCCAACCATTTGATTCATGCAGGAGATATCAAGTGTTTAGATAATAACCCTCAAACTATAGTTGTAACAAAAAATGTTTGTCAAAAAGAAAGTAGGTCATACAACATACCAAATGCTGGTGTTCGGAAAACTGCAAGTGCAACAGTGTCATTGACCCATCGGATAGCAAACCCACCATCTTTGAATTTCTCGAAGAACTTCTCTAACTCCGTTGTTCGAGTACTAGGCGGAAAGTCATATAGCACAAGAACATGGTTGGTACCATATCCAGCTAAGAACATAGAAATATATCACATTCAACCCTTTTTTTCTGTTCTGATGAAAAAAGACTCCAAAGCTAATCAAGAACGGCAGATTAAAGCTTAAGAACACTCACAATTCCTGCCCCCGCTTGCTGCATCGTCCTCAGCACGACGTTGATGACCCTCAATTGATTCAATGTCCAACTTCGAGTTGTCATCGGCAAGGGTCACGGCATCCACCTGTTCACTGTACAAGCAACTCTTTTGGTACAAGAAAGATCCCCTTCCCCGCCTCTTTGGAGTTACAAGCACCTCGGGATCTTTCCTTGAAGAACTAGATGCCTCTCCATCTCCAGCGTTCGAAGATAGCAACGATTCGTCATGGATGCCACGGTCTGCAATTGCCTCCCAATCTGCACATTTACCACCAGAAATGCTGATATCAACTAAACTATTTAACATCCCCAGCTAACGGCCGCAAGAAAGTACCATCTTCGTCTTCTTCGTGGTCGCTAGAAGGAGTTGAAACCCTAATTTCTTCTTGCGGCGAAATCTTCTCCCTCACTGGCTCAGAACCCCTTTAATCCACAAGAAATGAAAAAGTAACGAAACCAGCACGAGAATTATAAGAAACCATTCAAGAGTCAAAGTCGAAAGCGCCGCCATGCCTAATTCTTCGATCTTTAGGTCGGCGCTTACCCTGATGTCGGGGTCAAAGGCGGAACGGAGCCGCGGGCACGAATGGCGAAACCGCGGGACCGGAGCTCGTCGGCCTTCAGGGAGAAGCCACGGGAGGAGTGAAGGTCGGCGAGATCCCCGAGGGCGGCGGCGAGGCGGAGATCGCCGGATGGCGACGGGGGGCCATCCAGGGTTTGCAGCCTCGAGACCACTGATTCGAGGACGGAGATGGCCCCCTCGACATCGCCGCGGTCGACCAAGTCCTCTACTGCCTCACTCCACCCGTCTCCTCCGCCTCCGCCGCAACCTACGCCGCCGGCCTCCATCGCTGCTTCTCTTCCACTTCAATGCGTATGAAAAGATCGGAGAAGAGTCCGGCGCGGCCGACTTTATCGAGTTCCATTGTAATGGGCCTAATTAAGCCCAATAAGTATGTAAGAGGACAAAAGCGATCTCTAACAAGACATTAGAATTAAGCTCAATAAGCCCAGTAATTAATCCCTCGACTTACTCAAGCTTCTTACTGTGTGGTAGAATTACATGGGAAGGCACCTAAATAACACTTATTGGGTTCGTGCCTTCCCTCCATATATTTATCCAAAGTCCGAACGCTATGATTTCCCTCCTTCCCCGCCCCTCGTTTTGCTCTTCCTCTTGTTTCCCTCTCCGCTCCCCGCCCTCTCTTTTCCCCTCCGATCGCCTCTAGTCCGATCGCCCCTCCTGCCGCCGATCTATCTTAGAATCCTTCAACCCCCTGAGATCGGCTCTGCCTTGCCGCTTCCGCCGTCAAATTCGACCATAACTAGGGTTCCGGGCCCGGATTTCGTCCCCGCAGCCGATCTCTTGGCTTTCGCCGCGGGATCGGGGATTTCTAGCTGGATTATTGTTGGTTTGATCTGGTTCGGGTTGATGTCCAGCATCCAGGCAGCTGGGAAGCAACCGGCTCAGCAGCCAGGGCAGATGTTTCAGCCGTCAAAGCAGTGCTTGCCGTTTGCCTCGTCAAGACCGCCGTTCGTCTTGCTGGATGGGCATCAGGGGTTCTCAGCCGCCGTCGGTCGGTCGGGCGGCGGAGACGACATGGCCGATGCGCTGGTTATTAAGACACCTGTGAGTTTCTGGTGGAGGTTTGTCGGTCTTTTTTTATCCTTGAGTTGAACTATAAGACTTCCTTCACTGCATGCTCCATTTGTGTTACTTACTGTTTATTTGTCGATAGTTATTGGTTTAGGTTTATTGTCCGGAGTGATTTGGTGTTTTCCATCGTCAAGGTGGACCAATTAAAGAGTTGCCAATTTGGTATTCAGGTGCTATATAACTTCTTGCATAAATTATTTCCATTCATAGTAGGTTTGTCTCAAGTTAATTAGGATAGGTTAGCAACCGTCCAAGCTTAGCTCTACCTTGTTACCATTTTAGTCATGATCTAGGTTCGAGTTCCTCATGGGTCCTTGTCCCCATGGAGTTCCCGGAAGGTGCTCCTGGGGACATGCAATGTCATGTATTCACTTTTTGCTCGATATCCCATTCAGAAGTAGCTGTGTGTAACCATAGATAACTTGGATCAGTAAGAATTCTTGGTGGGTGAGGATTGATCTTGAGTGGTCGGGAGCAGTGAGTTGGAAATAGAATCATCATCTCCTATTTATTGAACTTTCTGTATAATTTCTTTCATGTAAAATTCGTGCAGTGTTTGCTGAATGCTGCTGGATGAGATGTAGGAAATTTAATGAAACAATTTTGAAGCTTTGTAGATCATTTTGAGTGATTACTATTTTCTGGTAAGCATGCATATCTTTTTTGTTTATTGTTCCCTTCTTATTTCTGTTAGCTTCTTGACAAAATTAAAGAGAACTTGGTTGCATTCAAGTTTGAAAGAGGCTGAGGTTAGTAATGATCCTTTTTCATTTGGAAATTGGCCTTAACTAGAGTCACTGTCGTTTTTAATTTAAATAATAACCCATTTCTTCAGTTTTGGGGAGGATAGCATTGATATCCCTTTGCAATTGAAAATGTATTTTGCTATGGAAAATTAGAGGTTGATTCCAGTAACTAGTGATGATACTCTTTTAAAATGATTGCAGAAACACTTCACTTTTAGACCCAAGTCCTAGATGATGATGGTTACATGTTCTTCTCCACATCTTGTTGCACCAGATACTGTTGAACCGGTGCCCAATGCATGGTGGTGGCAATGCAATCTTCATTAGCTAAAGTGTTTGCTTTGTTGCTTTTCTGAATGTAGTGTGTCTTGCACTTGATAAATTTTAGATGCATGGTAATTCCTCAGCAATGTTGAATTTTTAACATGTTGTTAAGATATGTCCTGTCAAGGCTTTGCCATAGTGTTTGATGATAATATATCATCTTCTTTATCCAAATTTTTATTTTTTTCTTCTAGTTGTTTAAAATGCCAATCATTGTTTGACAATATGTAGTTAAAGAGAAAGTCTGTACAAGAAGATAATGAAGCTAAAGTACTGCACGAGCGGGCAACTAGCACTGGATATGCTGTGGGATTCACAAGTCCTCTACTCACACCGGTGTCAGAAAAAGTAAGAAAGACGTATAGTAAGTCCAAGATTTCTAAGCACAGTAAGTCCAGCACTCAAACCCTTCTGTCATATGCTGGTGAGTCGATCTATTTATTCTAATTTATCAACTCAACATGGTTAGGTCTAGCATTTGGGAAAAATCACTCACCGCTTACTTCGATACATGTAGTTGTAAATTGCTTTTCTAGTTAAAGTTCTCATCATATGATCAAACTTTGTTGTCCTGATTGAAAAATAGTTCTCTTTTAGTGTAGATATTTGAACATAACTATTGTTATTATTGGGCCATTTGCAGGTTCACCTCCTGGCAACAATCTTACTCCAGTTGGAAATAGTCGTTATGATAGCTCCCTAGGTGATTGAGTCCATTGTTAACCTGATACTGATGAAGAATCAATTAGTTAATCTGTCGAATTATTCTGGATGTTGTTTTCCTGTATTACTGAAGATCATATTTCTTCATTTTTTTAAGGGCTTTTGACCAAGAAGTTTATCAATTTGCTTAGACATGCACAAGATGGCATCCTTGATCTGAATAAAGCCACAGAAATTTTGAAGGTAATGCCATTAACTGCTAAGTACTTCTTCAGTTATCCAAATTTAACAAATATATCTGTACAGGTGCAAAAGAGGCGGATATATGACATCACTAATGTTCTTGAAGGCATTGGACTCGTAGAGAAAACACTTAAAAACAGAATCTCTTGGAAGTAACTTCTCATTTTTTTATCAGATTTTTGCTTGTTTCTGTGTGCTTCTGTGAGATTTTCAACCTATGAAGAACTCAGCACAATATGATGTTGAATGCCAGGGGACTAGATGACATGGGTCCAGTTGAGGTTGATGATGATGCTTCAATTTTACAGGTGTGATTCACGTGCGCTTTTTTTCCTTGATTACTGAAAGTACTTTGCAGCCTACTTAGTTCTTATGTTGCTCCATTATGTAGTCACTTAATATGGAAAAGGTAACACAATGTGAATCCACTTTTTATTGTTTATTCAGGAAGAAATTGACAAACTTACGTTGGAGGAGTGCAGATTAGATGAGCTTATCAGGTGAATATTATAGTTGGAGCGAGTAGATTTTTAAAATGTTTTATCAATCATGGTGAAAATTATAAGTTATTTGAAGCCAAATGCAAGAAAGACTGAGGGACCTCAGTGAAGATGAAAGCAATCATAAGTAAGTATCTTCGTTAATGCATATGTATGCTAGAGATGTTGGTTTAACTTCTGCTCTCAATTGCTACAAAATCTGTTTGCCTTTAGGTGGCTTTACGTGACTAAAGATGATATCTCGCACCTTCCCTGCTTTCAGGTTTCAGTTTTTTTGCTTTGGAACTCTAATTCCTGTAGTTTATCTTAGATGTAACTTGTATACTGAAAACAGATATTAGCTGCTGTAAAGTGTAAATAAACCTGCAATTCCTGTATTATCTCTAATATGCAGAACAAAACACTAATAGCAATTAAAGCACCTCATGGTACTACCCTTGAAGTTCCAGATCCTGATGAGGTGAGCAATATCAGGGTCTAGTAAAAAGTAACTTAGAGTTCAATGTTTAGTTTTGACTAGTACAAAATACATACAAATATTTGTAAGTTCTATGATCATGTGGTGCAGGCTGAGGAATATCCTCAGAGGAGATACCGAATTGTCCTAAGAAGCACTATGGGTGCTATAGATGTATACCTTGTGAGGTAAAATTCTCTGTTTTTATTTGGAATTTCTATCTCTATAAGCAAGTTGAATGCCCAAGTTGCCATCGATTATGTTCTCATTGCTATTGTTCTTTCTTCTTTAGTCAATTTGAAGACAAGTATGAGGGGATGAGTGGTGTTGAGATGCCCCCGAAGGTCCTTCCCATATCAAATTCAGGATCTGTCGAGAACTACATGGTGCCATTTGTCACAGAAGAGAGCAGAGGGAATGGAATGGAGGTTGATATTCAACACAGCGAGAGGATCTGGTCTGATGTAAATTCTTCACGGGATTTTGATGGTGGTATGATGAAGATTGTTCCTTCAGACATTGATGTAAGTAGTTTTGAAGATGCAGATTTAAACAACATAAGCCTTATAATGGTCTTTCATTTGTCTGTGATGGCTTTGATCGACTTTCATTGTCGATACTAACTCTCTGAAGCTAAAATCTCTTAGCTAGAAATATATCACCATGGTGACTTGAGTCATGTAGATCCTTAAGACTTGTACATGCAGTCAATTATGATCCACCTCCAGAATAAGTTGACATAAACCAATCAGCCATAATTTAGTTTTATTATAATTTATAACCAAGCTAATAATGGTAGTTTTTTCTTCTTGTTTTTTTTTTATTTCTTCATCTTAATTTCTTATTGACAAGATCTGGTGTAATTCCTATGGCATGAAGCTTCTGTCTTCAATATGTACTTGTACCTTATCTGCATAATATTTGACTTGTTATGAAAATTCTTTCTTCTTTGAGAAACAGTTTGCTTCTTCATCCTCTTGTTCAGAATATTCAAGGATGTAGAAGTAGAAAGCACCATTAGACTTCCATTTGTTCTTACATCGCTTTATGTTTCTGGTTCTTACAATTGATCTGTCACCTACATCTGTACAAGGAAAAAATAATTGGTGAAATCATTGCACATCATTGTTTGCAGAATGTGTGAATGGATTACAAGAAAATTCTATTAACATTGGTTGATTTACTATGTGCTGCAGACTGAAGCTGATTATTGGCTTCTATCAGATGCTGGTGCTAGCATTACAGATATGTGGAAGACTGCATGCATCCTTTCTAAGACATTGCTCTCTTTTTTTTATGTTCTCTGTTGACCATCTTTTTGGAACCTTAACTCGAGCCACAGCAGAGGTTAAATGGGATGACATCAGCACAGGTGGTGCCAACACACCTCAACCACGAGCTCCGTCTGGTGTTGTTGAGGTCTCTTCAGATGCAAATTCTTCCCTTAGATGAATGCAGGATAGGTGGACTATGTAACTCAGAAGCCTGAGGACTGGTTTTTGTGTTGGAAGCAGTCTGCTTCCCCGTTCTAAATGCAAAGGTTGATGAAGATACTGTGGAATGCTTATTATTTGGGGCAGTCAAGTGGATTTGGTGAACGTTATGGTATATACATGTCTAAGTCTCTGCAAGAGGAATCTGCCAATCTGTCCTTTGGCAAAAACTGGCCTGTGGGTCATCCCATGATATTTTGGCATAGAGATTAGACCTGCAATCACATTGTAATCTTTCGTTTCCTTGAGGCTTTCCTCCTGTTCTATATATGAAGGTCTTGTACTGCTCCAGTTGCCATTTTGAGTTGTGGTCATACCAGATGTTAATCTATGGATCATATGGACAAAGCTAGGTATATTGGTGAGTCTGGCTTTGTGTCTCATCCATTGAATGATGCCAAGCAAAATTGGTGTGTCGTTGAAGAAGCCAGTATTAAGCAAAGCTTAGCTGGGTAGATGTTGAGGATGCATGTCCTAGGGTGGGTGTCATGCTTCTCGGCTTTTGTCCCCTCTTTGGAGCTAAACATCCACAAGCAAATGCCTAGGCAATCATATCACCGTATCATTTCAACCAACCTCCTTAGGAGGTAAGCCGGATGATCCAATCCACCCGTCAACGCGTGTCAACTCTCTCTTCCGTTCAACCGTAATTAAGAAAATAGGCATGATCACCTAACCTGCTTAACTGTTCGTGTTCTAGCTATTCATGATCACCTAAGCTGCATCCTCCACGGTACTAACCCCCACATGAATGCACATTGGTATTCTTTATGATGCTTTAAAAGGTCGACGCTAGAGCAACTTGCACCCACGCCAATTTTTAACAAACTGAAACTATAAAATTCGTGCTATGAATTGATGATCATAAATCATGCTCAACTGGTGGCACTATAAAAGATGTTTGATTGATTATGAAAATTTTAACCCATCAATATCGCCCACCATTGTCATATCATCCCAATTGTACCAAACTCCTTAAAACGCAGTGCTGTACCCGATCACCCACCAACTGCAACGGTAGTACCCACGAGGCATTTGGAGGACGACGCCGTTCCAATAATTGAGGCGTTACGACTAGAAGCCGAAGCGTCGGCTTGTAGACCGCGGAATCCATCCGCCCAAACGTTGACTCGGCCCGTTGACCTCATCATTGTTTTAACCCCCGACGAACAACTACTGCCTTCGTACTATACTTACAGTGATCTAATAAGAGTTGGAATGCTCACACGTAATTCCTTCGTATTTTTATTATGTTTTATCGGAACTTAACCTCAATTCAGATTAATTAAGCTACACTAAACATAATCATACATCCTCTCTTTATTCCTCCGCATCTTCCTTCTGTTCTCCCTCTCTTCGCGATGGCGGGGGAAGCCGCCGCGGCCGACACGCCCTCGGAACCGCCGGCGAGCAGTGATTTCGTCATCCACCATCGATGGTCGAGGTCCCCCGCCGCCGCGGACTCCTCCCTCCCGCGGTTCCAGCCGAGGGCGCTCCACGTCGGGCGCGCTTACCCCAACGGCGGCGGCGAATTCGAGCGCCGCCCTCGCGCTGGAGAGGCCACGGGGTACACCAGCCTCCGGGACCTCATCGACTCGCCTCCGCTGCCCAGCGGGGCCTCGTCCCCAGCCGCCCCCGGCGCCGGCGGGGGCCGGGAGATCCGGATCAGGAACCGCCTCGTGAAGCAGGCAGCGTACGCGTACCTCCAGCCGACGCCGTCCGCGGCGGAGTCCGACCGTCTTCGCCGCCGCCGCCAGTCGCTCCGTCGGTTCCTCGCCGTCCTCACCTGCGGCCTCGGCGTGGACCCGCTCCTCTCCTGCATCGATTTCGTCTGCCGGCTCGTCCATCGTCCGCGACGATGACTCCTCCTAACGGCAGCACTAACGGCGTCTAACAGCCCTCATTCAGGTTTTTTCTTATTTCCCCATTTTCTATGATAAATAAATAGGAAGCAAAAAGAGAGAAAACAATGCCAAATCACACATGAAAAAAAACAGAAACAAAAAAGCTTCCAATCATTATTCTGCCATTATGTCGGTAGGAGAATACTTAAACACGATGATCATGTCGATGAATGGTGGGGATGGAGGATCGAGACCATTAGATGGCGATCCGACGGTCGGGTTTGGACTATGGGGTAGGTCGACTTCCATGCAAGGTTAGTTCTTCCAACGTGGTATTAATACACGTCAGTTTCGCATCCAACGGTCAGGATGAGCTATCGAACAATAGAGACGTGCGTACATTTGTAGATGTGGTAAGGAGCACACGATCGGGAAACGAGGTGGGCGGGACGATGCCGATTCAGGCAAAGGTCCCGCTTTTGGGATCCCGGTCGCCGGTTGGGTTTCGACCGATGGCGTCGCGCGATTGATTCGGGAGAAATTTGGGGTTCCGATGGGTTTTGGATGGATTCTATTTGTGTCTCGAGGTAATCGCCGCCCGTCTACTCTTCGATTGATCTTGTCGCTGTTGTTCTCATTTCGATTCGGACTAGGTTAGGGTTCTTTTTGCTTACAGGCGGGAGAGATTGTTCTATTAGTCTCTTTTAGCATGGATTTGGATATTTACCCTGACGTATGCTTGTCTTGAACCCATCATAATGGGGTTGGATTAGAACTGTAGATTTGATCGGGGTAGCTCTGCGGAGGATTTCGATTGGCTTGGGACGGCTTTTCATGAAGAAATGTAGGTGAATGGGATCAAGAAGCATGGTACAATCTTTTCTTTCGCAGTTCTTGGTCTGTGTGTTATATGATAGATGACTGACGGTCAGAATTGTTTGCTTAGAGTTGGGTTGCTAATCCGGGTGGTGGCTAACCGTTACATGTTATCATTGGCCGTAGAAAGGCTTTTCTATGTTATGTTATTAGCTGTCAAGACATGTTTAAGTTTTATTTTCTTGTATACATGCTTTGATTTGGATGCATAGGAAAGTAGTGGGTCTTAAATCTGCATGATTTTCTTAGCTTGATTGGGTGTCAATCAACAATCTACTGTAGGCCAAGGAAAAGTTGTAAGATTGGATATATGAAGCAGTCATACAATAATCGATCCACAGTACTTTTGTGGTCTATGAATATACTTGTTGTTAGATTTGAGATATATTTCAACAAAGTTCAAACTTGTCCAAAAGACGCAAACAGTTAACAGTCCTAAGTTTGGTTCTTCAGTGGTCATAAAGGAATGTCTTTTCTTAATAAGTAGAACAAATATCACTACTTGCTTTAATGCTCTACACTTGCTACTGTAAGCTGTAGAAGAAAACAACCATATTCTGAGGAATATATAAGGCAATTTGATATGTATGAAGGCCTTTTGTACTGTGAGAATGCTGTTATTTGGCCTTCTATGATTGCTTATGTGTTGTTTACATGCACCACTCTGTAGCCATCATGATTATCTGCCATATCCTGCATTATGTAATTTGGTTTTCTTGAAAGATGGAACTGAAGCTTTTGACTGATATAGCGATGTCTTGCCATCTTGATGTTTTAAATACTACATTAGCCTCTTAAATTAAGTGCCTCAAAAGAGAACACTTTTTAATCCAACTAAGGTTGTATAAATCCCTTGTTTCTCATCTTTTCTTTTGACAATACATATTCTTTGCATCTTATACTTTGTTATAAGAAATCCTTAAATTGCCCTGACTTATGTTTTGCATACTGTATTTTGATAGATTTAATTCGCTAAAGTGTGATTCTCATTCTATTTCCCACTAGATGTCTTTGTATGTGGGTCGTCTTTCCCCTCGCATTCAACAACTGTACAACTGAAAGTGGACATGACTTTGCAATTTATGAAGCTTACTCTAGATACAGAGAGAGCTCTTCGAGCTTTGAAGGAAGCCTGTATGTGGGGAGCAAATATTTCTTAGTTGGTCAAATGGACAGCCGAGAGTTTTCCAGAAGTTGGCAAGGACCATCAGATCTCATGAACCCTTTTATCGAGGAGGTTGAGAGAAGAAAATAATGAGGTTGGGTTCATGGTTTCCTATGACAGAAGGGGATTTTCTGCTGGGCCATCTCATCCCTCGATGTATAACTGTAAATGGCAAATATGATACTGCTGCTTGCATGAATGATGAACAGAATAATGAGTAGTATGCAGCTTTCACTGTTAAGCTGAAGAACCTGACTTCAGCCAGACACAAGGCAAGCAGTTCCACAAGGTTAACTGTTAAGGGAATAATTTTGGCTCCGAAGCACCATAGACTAAGAGCACCAGAAGAGGACCAAATATGCTTCACCGTGGAAAGGTACCTTGGAGTTGCTCATCTGTGGGCATGGGAAATGATCTACTATTGGCTTTTAAAAGTGGGTCCAATTTCTGCTGAGAACTATGGAGGAAACTTGAGCAAAATAAAGAATTTGGTATTGTAAATAAACACATCAGAAGCAGTAATGGTTGGGGAGAACACAATCACCTTGAGCTTCAACAAAGTCAGTTTTTTCTCTATGGTCTTGTTGGCTGGGTGCGAATGTGTATCCTGAAATGTTCTCCTACCATCAGGTAAAATGATTCATTTCACATTAATTTGATTCAGCAATCTTTGTGAATTCCTGTGACTTGCAAAAGGCTAGATATATGGTAAGGGTTGATCCATCATCTTTGAGCTTAAACTTCCATGTTATATTAATTTCCAAATATGTGTGGTACAAAACTTGTAATTGATCAAGATGTCATTTCCAATAGGATCTGAATTGGGCTAAAATTCTTGTCAACTTAGGGGCAGGTATTAAAACAACCCAGCTAGGTTGATGGTTCAAGTTTTCCAAACTTCAATTTGATCTTGCCCAATAAGACTGAAGATTTAGGGTGGGTTTAATTTTGGTGTTAGCGTTATAAAACAAAAGGAACTAATAAAATTGTCCACCCTTCTCAATGATGAAGGCCATCTTGGTACACACTGCATTGACATGAGAATTCTTACTGGCGGTTTATTTCATTTCTCAACTTCAGTAATATTTCTTGTGACTCGTATAGGGAAATCAGAGTCGATTACTTATACCATAATTTGCATTCCCTTGGTATGCAAAAACAAGTTCATTATTTTTTGTCTTTGGAATAATCCTGCAAATAGAGTTGTTTCCATGATTCTAAATTCCAGTCATCCCGATGTGTAAAGGTAGGTGCAACATTAACTTGATGTTGAGGGTCGTCGGACTTTAAATGTATAGTCCATGTATTCTAATTACTTTGTTGGTGATACTAGTAGATTGAAGTTGACTGATTGCTACATTATATTTCAGGAAAATATCCTACTGCTGCAAATGGCTTGACTTCTTTCACCTGTTGATGCTGGTAAGCAGCCTTGTGTGGGGTACCACTTTGTAGTAAGTTTTAAAGGATCATACCTACCCAAAAGACATCCAAGATTTAGAATCAGAGTGTGATACTGAATGCCAAATCATTTTGCTCTTCATCTGTTTGCTATGTGATACAGAAAGAGTTTGGATGGATGGTGAGCCCTCGTTTTTGGCCTGTGCTGGTTCAGATGGCTACTAGCACATGTGTGTCAGACTGCTTGTAGCTAAGACACATACGTAGAATGCATCTATTTGTTCCATCCATAGCATAATGTGATGTGTTACGCCATGTAAGAATTGTTTCGATGCTATAATGCATGAATCACACATATAGAATACATCGCTATGAAGCTGCATAAATAATTGCTTGCAAGCTACACTCATGTCTCTTCAACTCAGAAACATACATCCACTTATTGACTGACCAAATGGTTATTGGTGATTACGATAGTGACAAGCTCATATTCTTTGAGGACACTTGTAGCGATATTATAAGCTCTTAGTTAATATTAATGTCACTGCTTGAAGAGACCAAAACCGTTGTTGACGGTGGTGAACGCGCCGTCGATGACGAGGTTGTGGCCGCTGACGAACCCGGACTCGTCGCTCCCCAGGTAGACGGCGGCGTCGCAGCACCGGCCCCTTGAGGTTGGCCATCCCGCCGATGAGCTGCTCGATTTGTTTCCCCTCCATGTGCATGAACTCGCAGGCCAAGCCGGTGGCATAGCCGAAGGAGGAGATGCAGTTGACTCGGATGCCGTGCTGGCCGACCTCGGCCGCGGCGCTCTTCGACGCGATGTACGCGTGCGACGCCACCCCGCCCACCACCGCCGCCACGCTCCCATTGTTGATGATGCTGCCCCCGCGCCGCGTGCTTTATCCCCAGGAACACCCCGGCGAGGTTGACGCTCAGCACCCGGTCGAAGTCAGCAGCGTCGACGTCCGTGATCCGGGTCCGGTTGCGGTGGATGACGGCGGCGTTATTGAACATGACGTCGAGGCGGCCGTACTTGGAGACGGCCAGGTCGACGGCAAAACATGTATGAATGAGAGAGAAGATTACCTCCTCGCGAGTGAAAGCGGAACTGGAGAAGCACTGCAATTGGCCATGGAAATCCTCGCTCGCTCTCTCTCTCTCTCTCTCTGTGTTACCTTCTCAGAACGAGAGTGGATGTGTATATATAGATACTGCGGCGAACTCCGCAGAGAAGAAGATGACCGCTGCATGTAGAACATGACGAATCTAAAACCATGTGAAACGAGTATGCTATCATGATTCACATGATGGACTATAGAATGGCGGAGTCATATCAACATAGGAATCAACCATGAGAATGTGAGGTAGAGAAATATGAGAATACATTAAAAGATTCTACAAAAGTAAAAACATATAATTAGAAATAATATATTTAAATATATATATATATACATATGTTACTTCAGAACATGTCAAATTGTAAATTCTGTAAGCCAATTGGCACTTTAGATTTATTGAATTTTAATATTTTTTGCATAGATTATCAATGTGCACATCTATTATTATCGTTATCGTGGTCGTTAGATTTCCATACCCATAAATTTATCCAACCAAGAGAATATATTCCAAAAATTATTAGTGGGACAACACGAAGAATGTTCCTCTCTATCTATACCTTCAAATGTAAGTGAGATGTGAGATGCAAGATTTTTGCTCTCAAATGAAGTTCTTTTACCTCTTTCAAATGCGGATGGTATTCAAATTAAATTAATTTCATAAAGTTGGAATTTATAATCAAATTTAAACATCAACTACCTAAACGAAGAAGCTTTACACAGATAAAAGGACGCATCCAAGATTCATTCATCTTACTGTTGCTGCATTATCCAAAAGACTTCCACTTGATTTGATGTAAGACATTGTTTTTTTATGAACTAAATAATACCCTAAACATTGTCCAGCATATATGCATATACCTTTCTATTTTGTTCTGATAGATATTACTTTGTCCGAAAGACAAAGGCCTTGTAATTAACTGTGCAAGACAAAGGCCTACCCGACCAAAACATATGCAAATACTACTACTACAAACAAAAGACAATATGAGCAGCGAAAAAGAAATATTTCCGATCGAAGCATAAGCCCTGCCGTCAATCATAGCGGAAAACCATTAAAAATAATCGCAGCATGTTTTGTTCGCGGCAAGATCATCAGCAAAGTTATTCAACTACAAACTGGACAAGAGAGAGAAACACAACAATCTTAAAAGAGAGCAAGCAACAAATATATGACTTCATGATACCCAGAAGAATAGCTCCAGCAAATAAGCACAAAAGAAGATGCTTTGTTCTAGAAGGAGTTCATTCCTGTTTTATTACTTATCATTTGGCGACTCATGATATTACTTGCATGTTGCTAATAGAATAGACAGACGTAGAATCATTTTTCAGCATTTTATTATATCGTCCCTGTCTACCACTAGAAGAACACGTCAACATAGAGGAGACTTTACTTGGTTGTCCATATCATAGAATCGCCCCGCCAGTTGACCTCCAAGCCTCTCACTCTGCTGCTTTCCCTTTGTGTCTGTTCCTGCCAGCAGGAGAGCCACCACTGCCTCCCATCTCCAGCAGGTAGCATATCATAGAATCCACGTCATCACCAAAAATGCTATATGCCTCCATGACCTGCATGTAGCCAAAACCCATGGACAGAACCATCTGCATGCTGCTGGTGAGCACCATCTCAGGCAGCAATGCCTTCTCATTATCACCTTCCGATGCAGACCGTGATGATCCCGTTGCTGTTGCATATCAATTGCTTTCCACCATGAATAAACTAAAGACTAAGTGGTAATGTTCAGGTTTCAGTGAGATTACAACTCACTTGCCACAGAAGATGATGGTTCTGCCCTAGACGTGGAGGACTCTTGAAATGAAGGACACTGCTTCAACTTTTCTTTAGCTAGATATTCAGCCCGTGAAGCCTCCATCACCATCCTCTCAATTTCCTTCTCTGTCAGTTCCAGATCGGAGTAAAATCGCCCCTCCGCTATAAGTGCCTGTCATCATGAAATTATTTAGGGGCAGGTCTCACATCATATGGAAGAAAAAAGAGCTCCATTATGCTACTTCTCCAATGTTCCAAACAAGCAAACAACACGTTATGCCATCAAGGCACTGGAACCATGTCGGGACCGAGTGTCCATCTCTCGAATGACAATTATTCTGAGTTCCTTTTTGCCTTCAGGCATGGACATTGTAGTTAATGTAGATCAACAGATTGCAAGTACATGAACATTTGACTCAACACACTACAGAAATTAACATTTTTTTATGGTCCTACACGTTACCACAATGGAAAAGAAATGAACTCCCAACTAAGAAGAGGAAACAAAAGGCAAAACCAAGTAGCAAATCTTTGCAGGAAACAAAATCCTTGTAGCACATAAATGACAAAGGTGTTAAACCTATATGCAAGCGATGCTACTTACATTGTGTCCAGTTCAACATGATACTGAAAGAAGCATAAGCATCTCTAGACATCCTTGAAATGGAGAAGCGAACTACTACTTTACTTTTCTTTTTTGTTAAAACAAGAACATTAAAGAATACATTACAGGAAATACAGTAATTATCTCCACCACTGAAGCAAATCATCAACTCATCAGAAATCATTAAATTCTAAAAAAAGTAGGTATTAGCACTCTAAGAAGAACTAAACTTAAGATAAACTAAATCGTGGCTGCAACATCTGCTAAAATTCTAGAGCAGCTTATAAGAAAAACTAAAATCAAGTAAGCACACATAAAGTTCAACAGAAACTAATTGTGCTAGAATAGCAGCTGCACAATATAAGATGCAATGGAACTCTACAAACATACAGCAGCATTACTTACATTGTCTATTTGCTGATCCTGCTGGGCTTTAATGGCAGCCTTCACCTGGTCCTTACTAATGTTTCTCTATATTAAAAAGAACCCAGAGAAAAAAAAGTAAGTTCAACAAATCCCCTTAAAGAGCAACCATTAGTAATACAAGTGATACCAATGCCGAATGGACCAAAATGTTAAGTGAAGTGCACTAAAGAAACAACACTTAACCATTTCAAAATGATCTCAAGATAAACTAACAGTTGGTTCATTGTCAAAATCTTCCTTTTTATTCCTCATTAGTTTGTATTCACACATCTAAAAGAAAGGAACAAAGGGCAGAGATATCCAAGAATGGGTTGTCAGTGGACTGCAGAAGACTACGGGCAGAATAACTTACCCCTCGAAGGCTACTAAATCCAAGGCCTGCACCAATTGTCATTCTACGTGAGTCAAGAAGTGAGTTGTAATGGTTACCATGGTGGTAGCTTAACCGAATTGGAGGTGTATCAGTGATGTAATTCCCTTGAAAGATATTAATAGGTTCTGCGCATGACCATGATAGTTAAGAGCTATTCACTGACAGTTCGACCATATACAAATAATCATCAAAGTGCATAGAACCTGTGCTATAGGAGTAGATATGTATAGGACGGTTGTACATCTCAGCGAATGCCTGGATCTCAATGTTGTTTCCATAGACCTGTAATAAGCCAAACATTCAATAATTAAAAAACCAAATTTAGTGGCAACAAAATCACTCATGAAGATGAACTTACACGACAATAAACTAGTTATGAAACTAATTATATAAAACACTGCATAAATCTCAATGGAGAGAACCACCGATAATCTAGAACTATTTAGAACACTAGTACAAGCAATATTCTTGCATAAAAAATTGGAAGTTCAAACCGAAGCAGTACTTCACCATATATCAATCAACCACTAATAACAAGTTCAAGGAGGACTATGTCAAAATGTAAAAATCAAACACATGATGATGCATAATTGACACTTCAAGAAGGATAAGGATAGATTCAATCGGTGTAACATTACGAAGATGACAGCAGTTGACAAACAAAACCTTGCAAAGTTTCTAATACTCAGAGAAACCAGAAATCAGACTGTCATATTTGATCAAGTAGAAAGAGCATGGAACTAGTTATGATCCTGCCAACTAGTCTCATTAACCTTTTTTTCTCTACAACTTCTAGTTTGTGCCAAAACATCATACATGCTTAAACTGTATATGTAGAAATCTCGGTTTGTATTAATTAACCAAGTCTGTAGCAAGAAGGATGAAAAAAAAAACTAAGCAGCAAATGGGAGAGTGACAGTTCTATAACTGTCAGAGTATATTACCAGAGCTATAGGTCACTAAACAACATGGCTTTCATGATCTTCAAGCACTCATTCATTGGAACGCTCATATAAATCACAATAACTCATGGGTTAGAAATGATAGGTGTCAATTACCTTGTCTCGTCTTTTCCGCTTGCAATATGATGTGAAGCCTTCGGTTACGAACTGAGAGAAATGGTCTCTCTCTTTTTCCTACGCAAAAAGAAAACATGAAATGGGTAAAAATATACTCAGCATTAAGCAAATAATACTAGTTAAGCATACCATATACAAATACCGAGAGGCATATTTGGGAACAAAAAATTTCCACACAGGCCTTCTCTTGGTCCATGTTTTAGTGACATGGTGCTCTTGCCAAAGTTGATCCACATTCATGTTCTTTTTATTTTTCCAACAAAAATTAAACTAGATTCTCATTAATGGCTGTTACAAAAGATTAACCTTCAATATCTTCATTTTCTGGACAAATATTTGCTTTTGTCAACCAGTTCTAGAAGTAAAACATGTGTCAAATTATAATATTTAATTAGAATGTGTTGGTAAAACTCCTGAATATGAAAATTAGTGCAGATAAACTCTGCCAGCAATCCAGGTTAAAAAATCAAGAAGAATAAGCAACCTAAATCAATAGCAAAATTAGGCCGAAGTACCTAAGCAGTATTTTATACAGCACGCAGTCTAATTTTAGATCAAGCAGCACATATCAAATGAGGTATATCATCAACAGAAGCACAATTTACGAGACTTTAATCCTAAGTAACTGATACTCTACAACTTAACCAATCTCAAGAAAATCTTTGATTTGTTAAAGCACCTAAGTTTTCCAGTTGATGACACAACACAACCGAATTCAAGAAACCTATTTCCAGTGGCTAGCATTTTGTCTGAATAGACCATCAAGTACAAGATGGCACATATAAAGTGCTCAACATCTAAGATGTCTTCCCAAAGTGGAGTAAGACAAGTCATATGCTGGGGTTACTTTGGAGAGTAACTAGTGCATAATGTTGCAAATTTAACATGTGTTCACTTAAAAAAACAGCAACAGGATAGATCAGCAAAAGTCGACAAGCACCAACACACGTAGACATTCTGTAAATGTGTATCATGCGCCTATTATACTGGCAAGAAACATACTATCTCATGTGCACATGCATGGTGTGGTTCTTAATCCTTAATAACAGCTGTAACAAATTATTTCTGCACCTATTTAATAATGAATAGGGTAGACACGAAAATTTATACTAGTAACAGAAATCTACATAGCAACAATAGAATTAGTCAGTAGGTATCAGTGGTAACAATAATGAACTGCTAATCCTAATATGACATTTTTCTGGGTTACTAGTACACACCATATAATCAACGCACATTTGTCTTGCCATGTCATATGCTTCTGGATCGCCATAGACTTGGTCTGCAACAGCCCGGAAAAGACAATTCCCATCCTCCAGCATCTTTTTTACTTCAAAACCCTTTGCCCGTCGTAATTCAGTTTCAAACAGCCTTTCTCTCTCCTGACAAAATAACCCATATTTGAACATTTGATACCATCATACCACAAAACGGTGGGGCATGAATAGGTGAAAAAAAAAATTCATAATTATTAACTCAGAAACATGTACAAATTAATGTAATGTCATTTACAGTATAATAAAGGAGAGCAACTTTTGTAATAAATCCATATGAACCATTAAATTGGTGATATTCTCCTAAATTGTTGAGTAATTAATGCCAAAACATCTCATATAAAGAATAATTGTCAGGCTAATCAAGTGCAGCTATTGCTCGTATTGACATTTCTATTAGAGACTGTACATCTTCATAAGAAGATATGCCAACAGAAAATTGAACCCTCTCTTTTCATCTATGACCATGAGTTCAGCCATTAAAAAACAAATATTTCTATGTCTACAAGGCATAATCAAGTGATGCTCTTTTCAAGGCAAATTTTCAAAAAGACTGTTATACTATGATGACAAACACCCCACCAGAAAATTATGAGAATAGAAGTAAAAACTAATGATAACCTTAGACAGCGGAACTTATTGCCTTGTCAACTCTAAGCCAAGGAAAATTAATTTTGCTTCTTCAAAACATTCCATTTCAATATTGACCCAAACCAGAAATGGAGGACTGTAACAATTTAAAGCATTCTGCAGTCCCCTTAAAAGGCTCTCAATCAATTTATCCAAATTGTTAACAAAAACACTGATGACTTAGTCATCAAAGACCAGCAGCAACAACATAAACAATCGGTTACTAGGCTTATCTATTTTGAGCAGAGCAAAATACAAAGTTTTAATTTCATCATAAGCTAACCAAAGAAACTAAGAATCTCTAATGTACAGGAAAAGTAGAACCTGGTACTGTCCTACAATTTACACTCGATGTTAGTGAGTCACAGAAACAAAGAGAGAGATAATCAAGGATGGTGGGTTTTAATCACATGCCTAGCCTTATATAGAGATGAAATTATTCATTCAAAAATATAAACCACTTAATAATGTTCTAACTTATATTCAACTTTCTTCATAACATTCGTTTGCTACCTATTTCCTCAATTTTTTACACAAAGAAGAATGTCAGAAGTTCAAAAGATCCGGCATAGGCACTAAATCTAGATGATAAGTGCAAATATATAAAAGCCTATAACAGCTTCAGCAATGTTAAGGCATAAGAAGTCACCAAGCAGTGAGACCTATGAGATGTCAAACAAAGAAGCTAATGAGAAGAAATTTACCAATCACATGCATGCTCAAGATATCTGCACAATTTATCAAAACTGACTTAGAACATATAAGACAAAGAATTGCATAAATAATTATTTTCTATTTCACTACCTAGTCTTTGGTCTTAATAAATGAACTATAATTGCAGAAGATCCTGACAAATGCTTACAAGATTTCTGCACAGAAACTTGGCATCACAAATAATATATGTCAACAGGGTACCATACCGAATCATCATATGAGGACACGTAGCAAGGACCTTGCTCATCCGCACTGTTGTAACCTTCGCCTTCACCATATGACCTGGGAGAAGATGGCCGAGACTCTGATGGTGAGCGTGTTGATACAACCGGCCAAGCCGACTGCCTCCTTGAAGGACCAATCCTCACAGAATTTGGAGACCCCATACTAGTCCTCCTTGAACTTGGATTTGTTAACAAAGGTTTTGGAGGTGGGGCTGGTGGTGGTGGAGGGTAGGAACCTCCTGTAACAATCTGTGATGAATCACTACCTGACCGCACAGAATCTTCTTGTTCCGAGCGAAGCTCAATCATGTCATCCCTTAAAACTGCAGAAACCAAAACATCATGAGTTGAAGACTTTTCCTCCTCTTCAACATATACATTGTGCCCACCCTCAACTTTAACACCCTGGGAAGATTCATCATTCTTCAAAGTTTTATCCTCGGTGCTCTCTGATTGCTCTCCAGGGTCCTCCGGGGAACTCTGGTCTTCAAGAATATGCTTTTCTAGGTCCTCCTCCCTGGAAGTGGGGGCAGCCTGAGAGGCAGAAGATTGTGGCGCTGAGCTCGATGGAGGGCGATTGGCGTTGGAGGAAGACCCCACCGATCCACGCTGAACAAAGATTCTAGTCATCGTTCTCCGTACAATAATTCGATCTTGTCACTGCCTTAACTTCTCTCAAGCCCTTCTCGTTTCCAATTCAAAGGTTCACGGCTTCACGAATCCCTTTGTAACGAGTTCTGACCTTGGCAGAACCGACAGCGATCCCCCAGACGAACGAATCCTTGTGCTCCAGCTCCTTGCCGCAAACCAATCTTTGCATTCCCCTAACAATTCTCATGAGACCAAATTCCCCCAGTCTTCTAATCAGAAAACCCACCAAGATATGAACCTTACCAAAGCCCCGACTCGCCCGATCCAAGGCTCCAAGAAACCCCAGCTGCCTCACCCGTTCCCTGCCAAAAACCAATCCACCATCAATAATCACCCAAGAACAAACCTCTCGCAAGACAGACTCGCTCTGAATCACCAAGAAACCAAAAGGCATTCCATGAGATTCAAGCGAAGAATCGACCTAGAAAACCCTAACACACAAAGAATCCGCGGGGGAAAGACGACGCAAGAAACGAATCCGAAGAATAAGAGGGCTTGCCTTGACCGATTCCAGGGAGAATCGCCGATCTCTGCGATCAAAGAAGTGAGAGGATTCAAGAGAGAGGAGTGGGGACTGTGATGACAGCGAACAAGTCTTGGGGGGGAACGATCAACCGGAGGAGGAGAGAATAAAAGAACGGGCGGAGGGCGGCTGCATCATCATCATCTTATAGGCGGACGGAGAGAGAATCGGTATGGAATTACCCTCTTAGCCTTTTTCTTGAGAGTTCGTGTTGCCTTGTTGGGGGTTAAATTGTCATTGTACTTTCTGTGTTGCCGAAAGTACCCTCGTGATGGCGATGGGCCGAGGGTGGGGACGCGCGTCCGATTCGGTTTCACGCCCTGATGCTTCGCCGGGAAGTTAAGGTTGCGGATGAGAGCGTGTCGTCGATGGATTCGGTGTAAATGCTGCTTGCTGTGTCACTTCGACAGCGACTCTCAAATTCTTTTAGGATTGATTAACTTGGATCATCATGGAGCTTTAGGATTCGTAATAGCATCAGGTTTCACATCTCGCATTTAAGTCGGATTAAAAGTACTTATTTTCAATGAAAATATAACGTGGTCATCCTGAATAATTCTACTATAAATAAAAAATAGTTGTTAATGGTTGCGGACAAATTACTTCATTGAGGATTTTTTTTAGGATATCGATGGAAATGAAAAAAATTAAAGTATTTGAAGATGGACATAACATGGGTTTAATCCATGATTTTTTTTATGGAATATTGATCTAGAATAACAAACTATAAGCAATGATGTGAGAGAAATAAATGATTTTTAATAAAAGAAATAGACATATGAAATACTACCATAGTAATATAACTAAATGTAAGTTGTCTTTTGGAGTGAGTACTATTAGGAGAATGTGTTGTTGATATTCTAATTAAATCCGATGTGAATTGTCCAATGTATTTTCGAGATAAGAATATTAAGCTCCTAATATATCATATGCATGAAGATTATGATTACGATAAGTTTCCTAATAAAATCTTTTTGATACCCGAGTTAGTCATCCGATACATAATAGTATGGATGTGAATGGTTCAAGAGAGCCCCCCTTTATTATATCGAAGATATATTTTTATACTTGATCGCAAATGGGTGATAGTCTCTAATCGTCCCAATGATCCCCTCTTGACTTTTTATGTACATGGGCGACAAGAGAGAATAACCCCAAACTAACTATTTTGGATTGTTCTTGGACTCTTGTCTACATGGGTAAATGGGTGAAAGATGACCTCAATCTTTTTCTCCGATCGATGACTCCACATTATCAAATGATGATTAAGTAATAATGTACTCCATATCAAATATAAATAAATTATCATAACTTAATTTAGTTTCGATCTACGTTATGATGTTTTATATAGCCTGCATCCCTTGAGTTAAAGTTACGCCTAATAAAATGGGTTTGATGAAATAAAGAGAGTCTCCTATACTTAACATACTCATCAACTCTTCTAATTATCCAATTCTTAATATTTTTATAAAAAAAATCTAACTTGGTATCCAAGAAAGAAATGTTCTTATCATATTTATAAAAGAAAAATGAACTAGATAGATTCCAATCATCCATCTCATTAAGATTATATACATAAGTATATATAAATATACATGTTGACCGCATTCAACTGCATATTAGTCGGGCCTATCAAGGATAGACGTGAAGAAAAAGATTATTCTTTAAAATATATTTAATTCAAAAAATAATTTTTTGACTGTTAAATATGAATAAAAGCCTTTGGGTTATAGTTTTGAAGCCAAAATACATTCCAATTTTTTTTCCTTGATTTCTTATTGATTTGACCATAAAAGGTTTTTTCAAGGAGCTAATTAGAAGGTACAAAATTCATCTATAAAACTTAGTTAGATTCCAATAAAAAAAGGGATCAATCGGATGGACATTCTGACGTGGATCAACGATCAATTTCGATATTAATAATATATATACATACATATAATTTTAATTTCCTGCTAATAGTATTCTTTTTATTAAAAAATAAAAGCTATATTTTGCTGGACTGAGTTGTGCTCATTGCCAGTCTCGTTCTTCGTGTACGCGGTTCCATGGAAATATTGCATTCTGTAGTTAGTCTATGAGCATGAAAATTTCAAGCCTGTTTAGCCATAATACTGGGAGCTTGTGTTGATCAAAGATGGTGTTTCACACATTGCTCTGAGCTACACTTGTGGTTATCAATCTGCTATCTTCTGCAGCTTTTTGCACTATTCCTTCTGTCTGCATGTCTAATTTGATTCACTCCAAAGATCATCTCATATGACAGAGGATGCGACAGCAATCTATGTTTCCTGCAGTCAGGGCTTTAAATTTAGTTGACAACCTGCTGTTATAACTTTTAATCTTGAGGCTGTAACAGTGTAGATTTTTATGAGCTTGGTTATGGGTACCATGGTGGTATTACACTGCCAAGGTTTCACTTGTTTCCATTCTCATGGAGGCTGTTTCTGTGATGACATTGGTCATTCACATGCAAATCTCTGTAATCCCTGTTCAGTGATGTTTTAATGATGGTATGGTGTTGTTCTAAACTGACATTGAGGCCCAGCAGTCGAAATGGGATTGTGATAGAATGTATTCAAGGGTTGTGATTCCAAATAATTCATTTATCATGAAAAATTATAAATATTTTCGCCGATGCGAACAAGATTAGTATAAACTTGATATAAATGGGTCATCAGGTCGGTCTTAGGTTGCATTGAGCAGGTTGCAAACATATGGAGCTTCACTATGGACACTTAATACTGAATTTAACAGCTGAAGTGCCTTCTTCTTTGTTCCAAACAAGAAGGGCTGACCAAAAGTTGTGGAATTTGACCTGTAAGCTCATGGTGGCATTTAAGCAAACAGTTCACTGTTTTCCTTAGCTGCTAATTCTGACACAACGAAGATGAAACCAAGTGGCTCTGCTGAATTTGATGATCTTAGATAGTGGAGCAAGTAGGGTGCTTTCTACTATACTTTCCAAATCTTTTTTTTTCCACTGCCAATCTTCTCCAGCCACCCAACACTTCATGTGATCATTGTCACCAAATTCTCAGATGAGATATGCTTCCTTTGAACCCAAAGCAGATTTCTCTTCAAGGAAATTTCTTGGCAATGGAGTGGAGTCGTAGGTATGACTTCCACCTGCATTTATCTTTTTGACTAGCTCAGCAGCTGTGATGTTACCCATTAGCTCAAAGCTGACCATCCTCGTGTGATGACAACACAACTGGGAGTGTAAAGATGCCACTTTTCTGTCAGTTCTGCAACAGGTTAGGCCTGCATACTTGGCATGGCCAGACTCAATGCTGTAATGCACTGGAGCTCAGTAGGAAGATGATGCAGTGACAAGGTGTTGGAATGCAGATCTGATGTAGGAACTTTTTGAGGCAGTATATTGTTTAGAATTGGATCAGCACTGCGTATATAATGCTTAGCACAGTAATCTAATAAGTAATTCAATCAGTTCAAAAGGAGCGTATGCAGTTCGACAAAGTACAT